AGTCTGAGTCAGTACAAGACATTAAAATTCTTCATTGTGCATGTATACTATGAGCACATGGTATTACTTGGGCCTTGTCTACATTCTGAATGCAAACAGAATCTTCAACTGTTGAGAGGAAGGACAGCGAGTGAGTTAATCTCTCACCACTGTCCTGGTCTGGTGACCCGCTCAGGAGCCACAGGAGGAGCAAAGTTGGATGGGCTCCATCTTCTCTTCCGTCCCCCAAGGCTCTGGAAAGGCAGCAGAGAAACAGGCCAAACTAGCTGTCCTGACCCCCCCTTCTCTTCTCTGAGATTTCCCTTCTACCTACGTTCTTTTAAAATTAATATTTTTATACCGATTACATGTAAAAATGATAATGTGATTATAATGGGTTATAGGAAATATATTATCAAAATTAATTTCACCCATCTTTTTACTGTTTTAAAAACAGGGCCAATAAAAAGTTTAAAATTACATGTGGCTCACATATTTCTATTGGATATATCATCTTAAAACATAACCAGGATATAACACTATATTATACTGTCTCTTATTTATTTATTTATTTTGAGTTGGAGTCTCACTCTGGCGCCCAGACTGGAGTGCAGTGGCTGCTCCCGACCACCGCAGCCTCGACCTGCTGGGCTCTGGCAATCCTTCCGCCTCAGCCTTCCAAGTAGCTGGAACTACAGGCGCGTGTTACCACACCTGGCTAGTTTTTGATTTATTGTAGAGATGAGGTATCGCCAAGTTGCCCAGACGGGTCTCGAACCCACGGGCTCAGGCAATCCACTCACCTCAGCCTCCCAAAGGCGCGAGATTACAGGCTGAGCCACCGAGCCTGGCTTGTCTCTTATTTTTAAAAAACAAGACAAACTAAACGAGTGAAATTCACAAAGCAGAGCTGATTCTGACAAAAATGATTTTAGTAAAATAAGTGAGCAAATTTTCACTTTGCACTATAAAAAGCTGATTGAGAAATCAAACTGTGTGAAAGTTCAAAAATATTTTCTTGATGAAACCCATTAGGATTGATGTAATTTTGATGAAAACATCTGTATTCAGAAAAGTACAGTCAAAATATCCTTAAGGCAAAATGACAGGGCTAAAACTCTTTAAACTCACTATCAGAATGGGCTTCTGAGCTAATGTGACATTTGAGTTGAGGGGAAAAACCTCAGAATTTAGAGGATGAGGATGGAAGGATGGTGTGAACGACAAGAGGTTTAGAAAAGAAAAGTCTAGGACCCACTTCAAAGTTCCCTACAGATGCCAAGCTCCCTCCAGGCACCCTTGCTCTCCTTCCATCAGAGAGTCTGAATATTTCTCTACAAAAACTGAACTCTAATTCAAACCACAATTTGAAATCAGAACTGTATTTATATGGGCAGGCAAAATATGGTTATTCAGAAATGCATTTAAAGCCAAATACAATATTTCTGTGAAACAATCTTACTTGCCAAAAGAATTCTTTGGAAGATATTTTTTTTTAAAGGGCAAGGAACCACTTAAAAGCTAAGCAATTGAGGCCAGGTATGGTGGCTCACACCTGTAATCCCAGCACTTTGGGAAACAAAGTCAAGATCATTTGAAGCCAGAAGTTTGAGACCAACTTGGTCAACATAGTAAGACACTATCTTTACCATAAATTTAAAAAATTTAGCCAGCTGTGGTGGTGTGCATGTGTAGTGGTGCAGGGGGATCTCTTGAGCCAGGAGTTGGAGGTTATAGTGAGCTATGACTGAGCCACTGCTCTCCAGCCTAGGCAACAGAGCAACACCCTGTCTCTTAAAGAAATAATAATAAGGCCAAGCAATTGAGATTTGGTCTGGTTTGGAGAAAGAGTTACTCTAACTACATGACCAAGTCAAGTTTGCCACATCAGAGCCTCCTCTCTGAAAGACGAGCCATGATCTTCAACACCTGAATCCAAATCAAAAGTGAAGATGAAATGTAACTGACTGTGACAAATCAGCATATCATAATTTTATATTTCATCTGTGACTAAGGACAATTCACGGTTATACTGTCTTCAGAGAACATTTTAAAATGATCATACTTCATCTTAAAATGAATCATCCTCCTTACACAGCCACTTGGCTACTTCATGAATAAGCTCCTGTACACAAGAACCAAGTCAGAGTTACTGAATAGTCACGTGACTGAGAAAAACAGAAACTGGAGCACAGAACGCAAGAGTTAGAGGACCTGGACAGGAATCGTGGTCCTGCCATCAGGCGACTTCGTTGCTAGTTTGTAAAAGGAGCATGCTCATTTCAAAGGGTTTTGAGAGAATCAACTAAATGATCAAATGGGGCTTTGTAAACAGTAAAGCAAGGCATTAGTATTCATTCATCTGATTTCCTAAAATTACTAAAAATTTTCTCTTTCAGTCTGGTCTTATCCATAGCTAACATATCACTTTGCTTAGTGTTAACATTTAGTAATTATCTTCCCTCCATTTTGCATACTTGTCATCTTCAGGACCAAGGCAGAGGAGTCAATGAAAGGAAGAAAAAAATTTCAGAAAGATAATTTCTTTTATATACATAATTGTCAACAAGTAAATAGGATCTGGTGCTTTATTTGCATTAGCTACCTAGAAAATACATTTAAATCTGATATAATATTAAACCTAACATATAAGACCACTGTTAGTGCTGAATAATATGTTTAAAGATATCGTATCTATTTGCAATCTGAAGTTTGGTCATATCAGCATCTGCTTTGCCTTCTAACTCAATTCTTTTCCACCACATCAGACACTGAATTTTAAAGTCTAGAGTATATGGTAAATGTTTTCTTGTCCCATAATCATAATTATTAATTGTTGAGAAGAAAAATTACTTTTAAAATTCTACTTCCTAGCAATGAACTCACAGGAAAATAATCTTATTAATACAGCACAGGCCAGGTGCGGTGGTTCACGCTTAGAATCCCAGCACTCAGGGATGCCAAGGCGAGAGGATTGCCTGAACCCAGGGGTTTGAGACCAGCCTGGGTAACTTGGCAAGATCTTGTCTCTACAATACATAAAAAAATTAGCTGGGCATGGTGGCATGTGCCAATAGTTCTAGCTACTTGGAAGGTTGAGGTGGAAGGATCGCCTGAGCACAGCTGGTCAAGGCTGCAGTGGCCGT